CAAAGCCTCTATTGCGTCACCATATAAGGAAGGCACATCAGAAACTTTACGTAGAATTCTCAACAAGGCTAGAATCAGGGTGGCATTTAAACCTACAAACTCACTCAGAAATAAGCTTTGCCGGCTGGCTTAAGGATCCGATAGATTCAATTAAGTGAAATAATCTAATCTATCAAATTACATATAATCACTGTGAGGTCAAGTACATAAGTCAAACTAGTCAGCCGGTTGCGGTCACTTAGAATAGCAGAATTCAGGAATTTAGATAAATATAGAATGACACACCCGAATAAGATCAATAATCTAGAAAAAAAACTCGGCTATTACAATCCATGTATCAACATACAACAGGTTGGGTAGGATAAAACCACTGTACTTAAGTCCACAAGCTTTCATTTCTTCTCACATCATATCCTCCATATCACCCTTGCCTCGGACGCCCAACTCGTCGTTTCCCATTCGGCTTTCACTCGAGGGCTGGCCGACCTGACGCGTGATGTCCCCAAACCGTCTCCTCAGTGTATGTACAATCCAATCCATCTCATCTCCACTTCCTTCTGCATATTTGTTGGGTAATGGGTTCTTGTTTCGTTGGTCCCTTGCCTGCCTGCCAGCCAGCCAGAGTCCCTCCTTGCTTATTCTTATTATTCCGGTCATCTGATCTCATCTTGAGTATCGAGTGAGCGTAGGTGAAAGCTGTTGATGTATGTCGGTAGTTTGTTGCAAATGGTTTTCGTAACGAGCCAAGTCTTTCGACTATCACATAAAAGCACTGACTTCCCCGAATTAGTGTTGAAAATCAGGATCTTGTTGACACTTTATGCTGAGTACAGTGCAGTGTAGTGCAGTGCAGTAGATCTCCACACTGATTTCAGACTAATGCAGGAAGGTCTGTCTTGCTTTTCCGATCCTGGCTTTCACGTTGTCGTGTGTGCCGCCACCCGTAGTTGAAACGATGCTCCCTACGTAGGTGGGTAGGTGAAAGAGACAACCTCCTTCAGATTTCTCCCGTTCATGGTGATTGGTGCTTGCTGTTGTTGGTTGGTTAGGTATCTTCATCACCTCTATCTTCTCGACATTCACTTGAAGTCTCGTCTTCGCTGCCTCACCTATTCTGCCAACTTACTGGTTTTCGCCTGTACATCTTCGAGTTTGTGCGACAAGACATTAGACATAAATCATCATCATTGGTGAAATCCAAATCTTCTACGGTCTTTTCATCAGTCTTACAGCCTATGTCCGTCTCTTCGCTCCCCACACTTTCTTGCATGATCCAGTCCAGTTGACCACAATCAGGAAGATCATCGGTGATAGTAGGCGACAACATTGTCTTACCTGTCAACTTGTCTTCACTTCAAAGGCGCCACTGAGCTCAGCTTTCCATTATGAATCACTTAGCATGTGGCGTCGTCATATAGTTGTTGAATGAGGTTGATAAAGTGTTGTGGTACTCCGTAGTGTTGAAGCAGCTTCCTCCCGAATTACTTCTCGGTTGACGCTATTGAAGGCCTTTTCAAAATTGATGAAGTTGAGGTAAAGATCCAGTTGACTGCCATTCTATGCTCTGTTCTATGATGATGGTTGGCGTAGGGTTACAATTCGGTGTGCACATGATTTGTTCTTCCTGAAGCCAGTCAGCCTGTTCCGATCATAGTTTTGAATTCAGAGCATTGTTTAGTCTCTCCAGGATGATGCAGCTTAATATTTTGCTTGGGGTGGACAGGAGTGCAGCATGATTCCGCGTCAGTTCTTGCAAAGACTTAGGTCTCGCTTGTTGGCGAGTTTGACAAGATAGCCGTTCTTCCAGTCGGCTGGTACCTTTCCTTCCTTCCTTCCTTCCAAACCTTCTGCAATAGTGGTGTGAACATGTCCGCTGTCGTCTCTGTGCCTGTTTTAAGTGCTTCTGGAGGAATTCCATCTGGTCCCGCTGCTTTCCCGGATTTCAGAAACTTTTGGCGTTCAGAACTTCACTCCTGCTTTTGTCGGAGGGCCAGTGTTCACTGATAGTTGTGTGGCTGGGCTGCTGGTGGTACTTCTGGACGAGTTACAGGTGGTCTTGGTGGTCGATTCAAGGGCTTTTTGAAGTGGTCAGCCCATTGTTTCCTTCCTTCATCCTCTTTGGTGTCAGCTAAGTTCCACTCACTATCTTTCATTGGTTTCATCTGAGTTGATCTCTCCTCTCTTAGATAGTAACCTGGTTATTTGATATAATGTTGTCAGATCTCTCCTACCGGCAGCCTGTTCTGCTTCACTTGTCAATGTGTCGTAGAAGTGTCTTTTGTCTTTGCGCGCACTGTTCTTCACTTCTTTGTCTAGTGTTTTATACGTTGTACTCAGTTCGTCTTTTCGTTGAGCATCCTTGAACTGGTTCATCTTCTGCTTCATCATCTTCCTCTCCCTTCTCTATCAGCTTCCATGTGTCTGTCGAGATCCATTTCTTGTCTTTCCTCTTCTTCTTCCTTCCTAATACGGTTATGCAGGTTTCCTTCCATGTCTCTTTCAAAGAGTTCCAAGGTCTTTCCACGCAGATTTCTTCAGGGATATTACTTAATGTCTCCCATATTTTCCTGATGACTGACTAACGTGAAGATTTCTTTTGTAGTTTCATCCTTCAGTTTCTGGGTATCATATTATAATATCGTTTGGAAATATTCGTTTGCATTTCCAAGTGAATCTCGATGTTTATAAGGAAGTGTTGTATAGTTTATGAAATGAATACTGCTAAAGGAGTAAGGGTAGTGGGTATATTTAACATTTCATTTTATCTTAAAACGGTATTTGACTCCGTTGATCATGAGGTGCTTCGACAGTGTCTGACTGTGAAGGGAATATCGAGCAAGTATATAACGCTAATCAAAGCTTTCTACTCGAACTCATCCAACCGTGTCCGAGCTTATGGAGAGTTGTGAAGTGATTTGACAACAACTAGTGATGTCTGGCAGGGATGTCTACTGCCACCGTTCCTATTTAACTTCTTCACAAACGTAGTAATGGACATAACCTTAAGCACGTCTGACTTCACAGGGATTGACCTATAACTTGTAGGTAATATGGTTGGCTTGGAGTATGCTAGGTGAAGATGCTGACAAAATGTAGGGTCTTCTGAACATTTTGAGCAGAAGTCTGAATATGTTTGGCATGCGTCTCACTCCTGTCAAATGTAACATGATACTCCATGTCTGGTCTGCAACCACTCCTAGTTCAATGATAGGCAGCAAAGTGGCGGAATGTATCTATCAGTTCACTTACTTGAGGGGTTGCATCAGCCCAAACAAGCTGGTTGCTGACGAAACCTCAGCTCGGATGTATAAGCCCTATTTGGTACTTTTCAAACTTCATCATTTCTGACGCCAATTGCTTAGAGGTAAGGCGATTATGAGTTTTCGATCACAGGAACAGGATTTTTCCTCATCCTTTTTCAATAACCTAATACTCTGCAGTTAAGTTCTTTGACCTATAGTCGTTGTATTGATATCTGACTAGCTAGGTGTCATCATTCGCATATAGGTCTAAATCTATAGGAACACTGACGATAATTGCAGTGACTTGATCTTCGACCGACGTTTTAAAACTTGGTCGTTTTTACCTCCTCAACTAACCTGATGAAACCTTATTGATTGGGATACTGGATGAAATCTCGCTTAGTTCGCCGCCTGGCCATATGCTGTACACTTCGAACCACCGTCTACCACGAGATGCTAAACAAAGAGAAGTTGGACAAGGTAAGAAGAGGGTTCAGACTAGCGAGACTAAGAAGTGCCACCAGTAGATGAATGAAGTCTATGACTCTTGGTGTGAGCCGTGTAGGAAGACGCAGACTACCTAGTTGAGGTCGCCAAGATAACAGGAATTAATGGTTGAGAACTCCTAGTGAAACGGCTGAAAATCGATGAAAATGACGCAGTTGTATTCACTCTTTGATATCATCTGCTGCTTGAATGCTTTGACTAACCTTCATTTTTAAAATTCTTCTCCATCTTTGTCTCCTCCTCTAATATAAATCTTCCCTATCCGCCTGTGTTTTTTGAATACTACTGTGAAGTGTGGCAACTTGAACGGATGCACTTGTGTGTGAGGTTCTACAATGATTCTGTCTGTCCTATTTTACCTTCGCTTTTTAGAGTCTAAGTAAGAATAGATCAGTCCTAATACGAACAACATACCAAATAATCTTGTTTTTGTCCAGTACTTTACCACTCTCCTCATTTTACCACCAGTTGCAGTCAACAATGCTATTTTATTGAAGTACTTCATGTTTATTAGAGAACTGAGCACAGGAGATAAGTCATTATGACAACAGCTTACACAATAACAAGTAGTCGAGTATAGGGATTCATGAAGCTTCTTGAACTTCCTCATAACGCTCTCTCTCTTCAATAAGACACAACCACAGGACATCTCAGATGTTGTGAGTAGATGAAGCCTTCAAAATCAAAGAAATTTCATACAAGTGTCACGCTACCAAGAATGCAACGTTAAGAGCTCAGAAAAAGACAAATTGCTAAAAAAGATTCTAACTTTTCAGGGGATTTATTGATTGATTGCGGGCTGATATTCACCACTGACTGATATCAGTTGGAGAACCATTGGAAACTTGGAAACACTAGACAGCTGTCTCGTCCTATTAAGGAGCTCCTCAGCAGAGCGTATCCATCGTCACATGACTCAGTGGTAACATGTTGGCCGTGGAACCCGAAGGCCCTGGGTTCGAACCCTGGTGGGGTAATGGGTACACACTGATGAGAAGTCCCTAACTACGACGTAATAGCTGTCCAGTGCTCCCAGGTTTTCAATGGTTCTTCAACTGATGTCAATCCTTGATGAATATCGACCTGAAAGCTAAAAAAGATCCAGAATCTAATAACTATGTGGAGTGGAATTCAATCTTTGCGCTCGATTCCTGTAACTGACACCTGGTTTTACTTTAATTGATTGATTTATCAGCATACATTAATGTTAAAACTGCATGCAAATTCACAGGATAATAGATGTTAACTTACTTGCAAGAGTAGTATTAAATATAATAATGATCTTCTTGGTAAAGGATTTAAACGTCTAACAAGACGGCAACACTTTTGAATAGGATCTAAATCATTTGATACTGTAGTACCAATGACTGAGTCTTTTTCTTGAGATTCATACGCTTCTGCTTCACAGGCAGCTTTTAAACAGATTGGTTGTAATTCCACTGGAATAAGAGGTTCACTTAATTCACGTAACCATAATTTTAATAGTCCAGCAGCTAAATGTGACTCCATATTTGTTGAGTTATGTCCATTCGTATTGCCAATGGATGATGATGCTGTAGATGAGGTAGACAGTGTACATGAACGTTTTATAATACTGCTCAAATTTCTAGGCCAATAAGCAGTTGGTGTAAGCAGAACATATTCAGCAGGAGGTAAACTCAATGGATCAGGTAATAAAGGCCAACTAAATTCACCAGTTAAACAATCCCAATCTATAGAAGAAGATAATAAAGAATTTTGTTTAAATTTCTTTGAGTCAGCTTCAGTAGAATTTTGATTCTCCTCTGCTTCAATAACACGTACAGAAGTAGACCAACCAGGGGGTGGTGGACGATGCACAAGAAAACGATTGCATAAATCATATTCACTGGTATGATTATCAGTCTGATGATCAGGATCACAAAGTTGAACAACACGAAATATTTCAAATAATTTTTCTAATTGACAACGTACTTCAATAAGAACATCCATGTCTGGTGAAAGTCTATATAAAAGAAGATGTAAGAGAAATAAAGTGAAATATACAGATATATTGAACCTACTCTCTCTCCATATATATATGGTCAGGATAAATCTTATTGGATAACTTTATCCTTCAGTTGACCAATCAAAATAAGTTACTCAACTTTTGACCTAGTGATTTTATATGTTCATGAAAACTGTATATAAATGATGTATTTTTGTTGAATAAAATGTCTTCCTTACAATCACAGCTTTGTCTTTGGCCTCTGAGTTTCACAGCTCAGTGAAAGTATAAGGTAATGAGGAGGAACAGTCGCCATTCGCATTCAGTCGGGTTGATATCATTCATGAGTTTCTTATGAAAATAGTTTTTATTACCGACCGACATCATTTGAAGGATCCTTGAAAAAGTAAGACACGTGTTCCGTCCTAGCTTCGAATTCCTCAGCAGAGGGATTGAGTTGATGCCCATCAGTAATGTGACAATTTAAATGGTAAACACGGAAGGCTGAAATGATCAAGCTAGCGAAGTCAGTATCACTAACCCTTATTATTAAGTACGTATGTGTCGCTTGTAAGTACTTGGATAAATAAGTGAATTCATCATCTAAAAACTCAAATATAAATGCCTGATTTATAATTCAAATCAATCTTATTAGCCTTGTCTGTATCTGCCATTATGATTTATCATTACGGTATGATTATGACCAGTATTCCGTTTCCTTTTGGTGAGTTGAAGGAATGGGTGGTCAATTTGAGTCTTAGTGGGAACAACATTGCTCCTTGGGATGCAGGTGTATTCAGCTGAAGAGTCTCAAAAGGCGAAAAAATGCGCGTCCTAGATTCTGCTTCCAGCTACCACCAAGAGACGACCTACAGCATAATCATTTATCCGGTAGTAATATGAAACATTTGTATAGGATCTCTCATATATCAACAGAGATCGGTCAATTCAATTCAGAATAGCACTAATAAGAAATTACAAGCATCAAAGAATATAATAAAGCCATTTTATCCTGAAAATCTTGTTCTCCTTGCTTTCAGGTAGAAATGAGGAATTTCCTATGACCACATGAAAACCATTTAACTTTATTGAGAAATCTTTCTAGTTATAACTACCTATGCACACATTATTCTCTTGTAATCCAACAGCTTTTATTGTAAATAAGTGTCAATCTATAAAGTAATACACTGTTTACCAATCAGATTGTATACATCTTGAACTGATCGATTATTGGGTGTATTGGTAAATCTGAAAGTTACTGGAATGAATCCAACTGCCACTTATTCTTATCGATTTAAATTAAAAAATAACAATCCAATGATTTTCAATACTGAAATACATAGGACTAAGTAACAACGCCTAATCAGATAGTTAAGCTAATAATTTCATTCATTTCTTTTTATAAAACAAACGAACAGACAAAGAAGTACACTAAAACCCAATTTTTAAAAACAGGTGGGCAAAAGAGAAAAGTGTTTAGTTTAGAAATGTAGAAATTTATCAGGCCCATATTATAATTTAGTAGAATTGAAAGAGATTTCCATATGGATGTTGTTCTATGGACGCAAGTATATCCACCTAACGAGTCTTAAATAGGACGAAACGCGTATCTTGAATACCGACTCTCAGACATCAAGTAGACTACAAGGTAAAATTGTCTTTCAAAGTAAGTATTTTTAAGTTACACATTAAGGGATAGAAACTGAGAGTTGACCGACACACCAATGGGATGATATCAAAGAATAAACTAGTTGGGGGTATGAAAGGGGAGGGGACAAATGGGTGAATAGTAGTACGATTACCAAGATTAGGAAACCCTTATGTCATCCGTTGTCTTCAAATAAGGCCTCCTTGAATCTAATAGACTAAAGCAGTTAGACTATATCTCTACAAGCAACTTAGACAGCTGATAACATCATGGATTACTTGGTTTGGTGAGTATTAGCTTTTTTATAATCCAATTCTTCTTTAGGCAACATAATATGGTAGGCAGAGGGTTTGACACTTGTAACATATGTCTCAATTTCATTTGATAACTTGAGCATCCTCTTCTTATCTTAACGATCATATTTCACAGTTGAGCTTATGCGAAATATACTCCACTTATGATAGACAGTTGAATATATTCTCCAGTTACATAGGTGGTGTACTGAACAAATTACTCAAGTGTTAGATTTCAATTTACTTGTTTTATTCGCAAGATGATAAGGTAACTCAATTTGAAAGTAGAGCTGGAAATCATAAGCTACTTAAAACTTGTTTGTTTGAGGATAGCCTTCATAGGATCTTTCAATGGGCAATTCTAATGTGTAATGAAAATTACTGATAATTCTCGAATCTATGAAGTTATGTGGTTATATAGTGTAAATTACTGATGTATCTGCAATAACGTTAAACTGTGAAGTTATCCAGACATTCGTATCATTATCATTATCATCAACATAGGACTAGGCATTACTGCATTACCTTCTAGTTCGCTACATTTCATATCAGCACATTAAGCAAGAAAGCGATAAGATGAGAAACAAGGAAGATTCAGTTGAAAGTAGTAAAAAAGAGGAAAGGGGGATAAAAAGAATTCTGACTACTGTATGACGGTTAAGTTGAGAATAATATGTGGATACATCTGAGCAAGCGACATCGATTTCAAGCCAGTTTACCGCTGGTTTCTGTTGCCATATGAATCGCAGCCGGCTAGTACGCATCCTTATACATGGCTCAAATTAACAATCAAGGAAATCATGTATTGATGCAACCTTTTAATCTGATCTCACTCCAAGCCTTTTTCCAGCCTGAACTTACTTCAGCTAACATTGTAGGATGAGATAGATGGTGACTAGGCATGCATAACGAATTTCCCAATTACCTTAGTCGATGAAAGTTCACAACCATATCAACTGACTCTCCTCTCCACTCTTTAACACTTTCGGTCTACTTCTTTGTGTTACTAATCTTTTCACAAAATTCCACAAATCTAGAGAAAGAATTATGCAAACGATACCAAGTTCTGACGTTATTTATTTACTGATACAGGAGGTTCTAGTTAGTCAAGTAAAGTCATTGTCAAATACTTGTTTAACACCAATTTCAAACATACTATTCTCCAGAAGCTTCTATACAAAACAATCCTCCCAGATTAATGTAAGAGCAAAACATGGGCATTGTGGTACAGTTTAGTTCTATAGTAGACTGTGACTATGATATAGAACGCAATGATATGATATTATATGCTGAATGACGTTTCTAGAACAGTTTACCACTCATATTGATATCAAAGTAATCACATACAACTTTCAAACTTCCCTTATATATATATATATAGTCTAACAGTTCTTCATTCCACAATATCTGATGAATCATTCCTGTTACATGCTGACTCAATGAACAAAGATAAAATGTACAAGTAATCGGGTTACAAGTTTAACTGGTAATTCACACAATCTAAACAACAAACTGAAACACATTGAAGAGACACTACTTCTTAACAACTACCCTTCGGAATTCATTGATAAAATGTTTATAAGAACTGATAATAACTGAAGGAGTGATAACCTTACTACTGACTACAACATACTGTATAACAAAGGCATATCAAGAATTTCACGTAAAATTCTTAACAATCCTGGCATTTAGCCTCACTCACAAACTTGTAGCGTCACATGCTTCCCCAAAATCAATAGCCTAGGGTTCCACGACATTCAACATTGATGCTGACCTTCATAGTTTAACTGGACTCACTAAGCTGAAGGCACCCAGTCAAGCATCATCGCCATTTGACACGCTATCGTGTTACGTTGCACTGCTCGTGTTCGACTTTCTAGCCAGATAGTTGGAAGGCATCGGTATCTTGGCACAACCACTCAAATATACTATTCCATCCGACTACACTATCGTGTTCTTCCTTCGTCTCATATTCCTGGGTATATAAAAAGTTCGAATAATCAGTGATTGGTCTTTACGTCTGTCAAGTTCGCACCAGGACAAATCCTAAAAACTCACTCCAACAGAAACTTTGTAAGCTAAAGGATTCAGTACAGCCAAATAGAAAAAACAACCTAATCTATCAAATACCATGTAATGATTGTGAACTCAAGTAAGTAAGTGAAAGCAGCCAATCTGGCTCACTTAGAATAGCAAAGCACAATACTTTAATGAAACATACAATGATGGAGCCTACTATACGATAAGTAATTCACAGAAAAACTCGTCTATCGATCTACATGTACTGACCCACACTAACACAATATGGCAGGTGGGATAGGGTGACAATTCTCAAATCCAATAGAGATAGCTTGATAGATGGAGGGTTAGATTAATCACAGAATCTTTGTTCATTCAATCAATACCTAAGACACATGTGACAGGAATCATGCACCACATATCACAGATATCTAGAAAATTTTACCGCCATTAAATGAAGGAATGAAGAACCGTTGGACTATTATATAAGGGAAGTTTGAAAGTTGTAAGATTACTGTGGTATGAATGTGAACAATAAACTGTACTCGAAACGTCATCTAGTAAGTTATACTGTGTCACTGTGTGCTATATCGATCAAATAAACAATCTGATATGGAATGTTTTCAGATGGATGGAAAAGTAGGCTTAATACTAATGATATGATGCCATGAGTCCATCTTTAAGGAGACCACTAATAGTTTTTAACTATTACAATTCTGGTAATTTAGTTCGTTGTGGCTAGCAAAGGAATCCAGGACGTGTGTTTCGTCTTATCTGGGACTCGTCACCTGGATGTACTTGCACCACAGTGCAGAGTGATGTTATTCCCACTGAGACTCGAACCTTGTACCCATCGCTTCAAACGCCAAAGGGTCATGCCACGGATGAACGACAGCCAATCCGATCCAATGAAATAACGGAGAATTACAAGTATATCAATAAATAGTAATATTACAATTTTCTTCAATTATCATCGCCTGTATTACATTGAGTAAGATTTGGAACGCTTAAATGAGCATGTTTACGTACTTGCGATTAAATGACTGAACGAAGTGGTT